GCTATATCTTAAACAATTATTTTGGCTTGCTGAAGGAAAGGACAGAAGGCAACTGACCTGTGATCTTTCATTTGTCTTGCTTTTCGGTAATTAGTAAATTTATTTAGAAATGCTCTTTCCATCACAAAAATATTATGCTAGAGGAATAGTTAATGTTCTTCATAAAAAGATGACAGAGACAACTTGTAAAATGCTATTTACAGCATTTTCAGCCGAAAACTAAAGAATAATTTATTTGGCTTATTAAGTTCTGCCTATCTCTGAAAGCCAAGAAAACTCCCAATTCCCTCGTTGTTAAATGTCAGAACCCTGTGATGAAATGTCTTGATATCTACAATCTGTCTGAGGCTATTATCTGCAGAAATGTATTTGCTTCTGCCAAATATATTATTCCCTAAAACACTGGGTGGTTGGGATCTTCCCTAAAAATAGGGGCTAAAATAAGTCCCTATTTGTGACTCCTGGAGGCGTGCATCCCAGCCGGGTAGTGCAAACTGAAGATAGACAAAGCCTTCCAAAACTTCAGTTTAGGTTCAACTCATCTCAGTTCATGAGTGAATTAAGGTGATCAAACTCCATGCTATCTGCCTCACTAAATTTTGCCGTGAACCCTCTCTGGAGGAAGATAACATTATCCAGAAGTTCTATGCCACTTATAACCTGGGGTCTATGGACCCCCAGATATTTTGGGTTGCAAATCAGTATCATTGGTTTCTTTGTATTATATGCATTTTACTTTCTGCTTTAAAGATGTTCTTCTAAGAAGGATTCTGTAGGCTTCACCAGACTGACACAAGTGTCCTGGCACACATTTCTCAGGTACAATGTCCAGAATTCAACCAAATATTACCAGACATGCCAAAAAATATGACCAAGAGTAAAAATTTATTACAGTCTTATATACTCATAACACTTAGGACACAAAATTAAAATGAAACAAAAAACCTCCACCATTTATGATGGCAACAAAAAGTATAGGATGCCTAGAAATAAATCTAATAATATGTATAAGACAATTACACAGAAAACAACTTTGTATTAAAGAAAACCTATAAATGGAAAACGATTTTATTTTCATGTACATAAAATATTTAATATCATAAGGATATAATTCTTCCTGAAAACTGATCTATATATTCTATACCATTTCAAGCAAAATCTCAATAGGATTTTCATGTAACCTGAAAAGATATTCTAAAATGAATGCAAAATATCTAAGTTTTAAAATACTTCCCCAGAAGACGCAGAGATAGGGATGCATTTAAAAGTGATTTATTAGTAAGTGTTGCTGGGAAAATTTGGTAGTGAAATTGAGAATATAAAGGAATCCAAGTGATATGTGCAGTACATTTGCTATATGACTCCTAAAAAAGAAGAAAAAAATGAATAGGGTGAGGGAATTTTCCTGTCAGATAGCAAGACTTACATTAAGTTTTACTAATTAAGGCAATATAGACTTGCCAGAGAGATTTTTTTAATTTTGATGAGTAGAAAAAATTTAGGGTACTGGCAGGGCCATGGTCCCTCTAAAGGTCTAGAGAAGAAACCTTTTGTCTCCCTAGATTCTGGTGGTTGCTGGCAGTCACTGATGTTCCTGGGCTTGTGGGCATGCCTCCAATTTATGCTTCTGTCTTCGTGGGGCCTTTTTCTCTCTATATGTGTCTGTTCTCACATGATTTTCTTATAGCGTCACTAGTCATTGGATTCAGGGCTTACTTTAATCCAGCATGACCTCATCATAACTTAACTAATTGCATCTACAAAGACCCTATTTCCAAGTAAGATCACATTCTGAAGTTCTGACTAGACATGAATTAGGGGGCAAGAAGGACACTATTCAGTCCAGTAGAGCATAAACAGTTAACAACCATAAAAAATGCCCATCTTCTTTAGAAATCTGTTAAGTACAGATGAAGCCTACAACAATATGCTGCTTTACACTGTGTAGACTGGCAACCATTAGGAAGTGTCAAGAGGATCAGCCACACCTGTGTGTTGTGGGGTGGGGGGTGCGTGTGAATTGGTTCACTCCATCTGCCCTGCCCCATTTCAGAAAACACATTGCTATTGTTTCATGAATCTTACCCCCCTGCCCTGCTTCTAGGTATACACCCAAAAGAATGCTCTCACAAGAGTACAAGAGACATGTTCAGAAAAGCTCCGAGACAGGATGTTTCCAGTTAAAGAAAAAACTGGGAACAGTCCACTGACAGAAGAATAAATGAACTGTGGTGTATTTACCCAGAAGAATGTATTTAAGCGTCAAAATAAAGGAACTGCACCACACACAACAGCGTAGGTGTAATGCCATGCCCTCAACATAGGGCGGAGTGAGAAAAACAATTTGCAAGAAACTACACAGAATGTGATACGCTTTTCACACAAAAACAAAAAATAAATTATATCTGATGTAGCATGCATATGTTATGCAGCACGTGTGACAAAATGTTAATTGGAAGAAAAAATGTAGGGTAGAGGTTGATGAAAGTGTAAGCGGATGGATTAAACATGGACACCGTGCCTGCCTGGAAGGAATTTTCAAAACAGAACCTGAGCTGGCACCCAAAACGACAAAAACATGACTAGCTTTTAATGTGAGAGCTTTCTTTGTTCATTCATTCAACAGCCAGTGAGAAGCAAAAGCTGTCAAAGATGGGGCCTCTTTGGGAACTTGAGGGTCAAAGGGTGAGTGGGCCCAGGCCAGATCATTCTGGAAAAGGAAGCGGCTCCAAAAATGGGGTATGGGGATAGGGTGCATAAAAATTTGAGAATTTGTTTTTAAAAAGTTAAGCTTTTTTATCAACGATACCTTAAAAAAGAAGTTAAGCTGTTTGATGAAAAAAGATACAGATTCCTGCTAGTTATAACATAATTCATTTTTGTTCATGCACTGTTATGAATATTTCTTATCTTTCTCAAGCCAGTTTCATTCTTCTTAGTTTGTTGCTGGAGTATTTTGTCATGTCCTTTAGCCTTATGTTAATTGCCTAATTTTCTTTCTATTCTTCCCAAGATGCTTGAGAACTGCCCTTCATGTTTCCAAACCCATCTGTCTCATATTTTCATTCTGTACCTTCTAACTTGCAGTTCTGCACTGGAACATTTATGTCGTTTGCTTCCTTCAAGTCACAGGACCACAGGATCACTTTTCAGACACCAACACAAGGTGAAAGTGACCCAGCAGGAATTTCCAGAAACTCCCTAGAAATAACCTCCAGGCTCCAGTTTCGATTTCTGCACTACCTGGGTTCTTCTTGTCTTTTCATAGGCAGAGGCAGTGCAGCAAAACGCAGGAACTTCCTTACAAACCTGAAATGAGAACATCAGAGCCATCCGCATTCCATTTCCTCCGTGGAGTTTAACCATAACATTCCAAACAACAGCAGCTGGGCTGGAGGAGGGAGACCAGGAACAATTAAGGAGCCAGAATGTCAAGACTTCCTTTTCTTAATAGCTAAATTCTGCAGTACTTCACCCTGTGAAAGACACCAAGCTAAAGGTGGCATCGTCACCTTGCCCCAGTGATTCCTCACGTCATCTATATGGCATATCAATTTCTTGACTTACTTTTCAGGATTAAGAGTGAAAGCAGATCTTTGATCTATATGGGGAAGAACTTAACATCTGAGTAAGCTTAAGGTAGCATCCTGGGGCCAGACTGCCACAACTTGAATTCTGGTTCTACCATTAGCTAGTTTTGGAACATTGGTCTGTAAAACAGAGGAAATAATAGTATGTACTTATGAGGTTGTATGTATTAAATGTGATATTACATGTGAAGCCCTAAGAAAAGTGTCCAGCAAACAGTAAATAGCCACTGAGGTAATATAGTAATCTCTACTTCTCACCAAGTCCTTACCATTATCTATGCAAATAAAGTCTAACACCTATCTGAATTCATGTGCATTCCAGAAAAGAACATTGCTGGAAGATATGGAAAATTCACCAGATCAACTCTCCCCCTTCCGTTTAAACCAAAACGAGTCCCCCTGACGCCTTAGCTCAAAGCTGCCCAAGTTTCTAGAAACAATAAGGAAGTTTGTCCCCTTAGTCTCTTACGAAAAATCATGGACTTGAAAAAAATTCAGAGAGCCAGTCATATCATTTTTTATTACCATCGACTCATTCACATGTAGATGGTACAAAAACTGACCTGCAGAATCATCTTAAGTGTGCACACTGGTGTCCAGTGGACTGTGAATTGAATGGAAAGTATCCTGATTTTTCAGGGGCTCCTTACCCAGATGTAGGCGGGGGTAGTGCATTTGCTAACCAGGATTTCCTTCTGTGTAGGGTTTCCTATTTCATTTCTTCTCTCTAAACCCAGAGGGCAGATTCCCACCCAGAGCCCTGGGCTTGGAGCCGGTGTGATAACTGGAGCTGCCCGAGCTGGGGAGGGGGGAGGGGAGAGCCTGAGGGGAGGGCAGTTAGGTGGTGTGCAGGGACCCCCTCAGGTCCGTCCCTCAGCGTCTCTGCGCTCATTACCTTTGTCTGACCTCATGTCAGTTCACCCAACCTCAAAACGAACACAGTCTGTAAGGAAAAGTCAAAGCCAGCAGGAACTGCCCAAGAATGATGACACTCGAAGGGTCGGGGTGCAGAGGGTGCTGCCCAGCTGGATAAGGAGGACTGAGCGGGCCAGAGGCTGATGGACAAGCTCTGCCCAAGGTACAGCTAACACTGATTTCCTTACGCCTGTGTCTCAGAGAAAGCCCTTCAAACCTGGGGTTCCACTGGGGAACACCCTTTTCCTTGATCTGTAGAAATAAAAGGCAAGATTTGAGTGCTAAGCCATTCAAAATTATGATCAGCACTGTCGGGCACTCTGGGTTAGTGGGTCCCTGGCTCAGCCAGATGCCAGAAGAGAAGGGGCCCTGCTCTGCCCCTTGGAAGGAGAAAGGTAGGAAGCCCTCAGGACTTCTCTGTGCTTCCCATCAACCCTCAACCACACTCGACAAAGCTAATGACACTGAAGGATTTTTTATGTTTCATTGTGCCTTTATTTTGTTTTATGCATTTTAAGGAATGTTTTTAGCTCTCCACACTTGCCTAAAAGCGAATCATTCTAAAGGGTACATTTTGATCAAAAGCATACATAAATAAATCAGTGTGATAATGACCTTTGCATTAATAATATCCTGAAATATTTATCCCACAACTCGGGACAAGGCTTATGTTCCTTGTTTGGGATAGTGATGGTACAAAGCATGCAAGTGCTAATTAACCCAATGTTAGGAATGTTCTAGTTTTCAAATTTGTTAGCAATTAGAGTTTATTCATGCTGTTCTCAAAAGCCATATGTGAGATCTTTATCCTTCTAAAAACCCACCATGAATTCTTACGCATGAAGATTTCATTCCTAGTCACTGAAAAACCCCACTAATTCCCTTAGAAACCAGAGAATATAGTTTGGGATGGCTAAATAAAATGTCCCCTGAGCATAGACCTGGAATTATATTTATAGCCGAGTTAGCTACCACAGGAAATCAATCGTTCCTAGCTTTACACCAATCTCACCCATCAGGTTTGAGTCAGGACGTCTGCCAGTCCTTTTGCAATGCCAAAGCCCCGGGAAACAATGAAGATTTGCCACCATTGAGGTCAGGATTGTAAATGGATGTGCTGTTTCCACCCTGAAGGCAATTCCAGAAGAGGGATTCCCAAAATACTTTAGGACAAAACATGGCTACCCCCAGAACCATCACCACTTGTTTTTGTACAGCCAGTAAACTAAGAAAGTTTTTTACATTTTTAAATGGTTGAAGACAAAATAAAGGAGAATTTTTATGACACATGAAAATTACATGAGATTTCATTTTCATATCCGTAAGTAATGTTTTACTTGAACACAGCCATGCTTATTCATTTACGCATTGTCTATGGCTGCTTTCGCACAAAATATGGCGGAGTTGAGTCATTGCAATACCAACAGTATGGCCCGCAAAGCCCCAGAGAGTTACTGTCTGCCCCTCTGGCTTCATTGCGATCCTCTGGGACTGCTTCAGAGGAGATTACACTCATTCGAAGATACAGATTCTGAGCTGTGTTGTCTCATTAGCCTCATGTCTCTGCACCATCACTGGACGTAGTGCCAGGGCTGTGCGCTGGGAGTGGCCGTGGCAATTTGTCCCATGCTTTGTCACCAGCACTGTTACCTTGGTGCCCATCCTGGGCCTGTCAAGCACCTTCAGAGTATAAGAACTAATTGGGTTTTTTGTGATAAAAATATACATAATATAAAATTTACCTTTTTAAAAACCAATGCTAAGTGGACAGCTCAGTGGCATGAAACACGTTCACACTGCTGTGCAGCCGTCCCCACTGTCCATCCCCAGAACTTTTTCATCTTCTCAAGCAGAAACTGTATCCCCATTAAACACTGCCTCCCCTCTTCCCCTCCCCCAGCCCCAGCAACACCCTCCTTTATGTCTCTAGGAGTGTGATCGCTCCAGGCCCCTCATGTAAGTGCAATCACACAGTATTCGTCCTTGTATGCCTGGCTTCTCTCACTTAGCACTTAGGAATAACTAACTTCTGATGGATGCTTCCCAGTTTACACAGTTTCACATACATTACGTTGCCTGGCACATCTCCTTTGTGAGGCAGGTGATTTTTATCCTATTGGAGCGGACGCTGAGGTCACCTGCAGGCAGATCCCGCACCTGCCCGTGGCTCCCGGGACACTGCACCTCAGGGTGGGCTTGCCACCAAGCCTGCTCCCCCTGGCCACAGGTCACACGCAGAAGAGCTGGGAGTTGCAGGAGTGACCTTCACCTATGAGGGGGAGAAGGTGGTGGCTCAGCACCCCTCCGGGAGGGCACCTCCAAGGTGGACTAGATGTGATTCTCAGAGACTCTCCACTGTCCTTGGGCCCTGTTCTCACTAATTCACCTTATACTGGCTTCCTCCCTTCCCTGTTCAAATTCCCCATTCCTCCCCTGATCCTCAGGAGACCTCTTAAATAAATTCCTTGCACCAAATCCTTGCCTCAGGATCTGCCTTGGGGGGAACTCCCACTAAATCACTCAGTATGATAACTACAGATCAGCAAGATTAACTTGTCAGACTCTTACACAACTAATAAGTGCAAGAGTCAGGTTTTTAGCCCTAGTCTTCTCATGCCAAGGGCAATATCCTTTTCTCTGCTCCCCTAGTAGTAAGACAGGCCTCTACCTTAGGTATGTAGTCTTGTTGGCTGAGGTATTAGCAGCAGGCCTGTAACCTACAGGAAGTGCCCCAAGGGATGAATGACCTCAACTGATGCTCCTTGCAAAGGAGCAGACAATCAGACTGCTCTGTCAAACTGTTATACACAGGGAACTAGTTCTACTTCCAGCAGGATATAGCTGATCTGTCAAGATTGGTTATTGCAGATAAATTTGAATTTATACATGGGGCACAGAAGACTGGAGAGGGGGAACCAGTCACATACACATTCTCTCTGTGTGTAATTAACACAACACAAAACGGAGGGGCCCCAAATCTAAACACCTTCCTTTGAAAACAAGATGTCTATCTGCATGGCTCAAAATTCATCCATCACTCTGAAATTGAAGTGCGGTCTCATGCAGGAGGAGGGGATATCTGAGGAACTGTACCTCAGTTTTGGGCTTCTCTGGAAAAGAATACTGAATTTGTGCCTGTATTTGCCTGTACCATTTGAATCACTAGCTTCTTGTTGGATAGATTGACAATTCACACTGGCTCTGCTTTGATAACTCAACCCTTCATGTTAACATTCATATGGATACATTTAAAAACAACAGTTAATGCAAGAGAATCTTCTTATTCCAGGATGACGAGTTTTAGCAAGAATTCTTTAAAAGGGAATCTTGTCAAAATGAGGACCAAGATTTCATAGCAAATCCTGAAAAGAAAGCTTAGCTTTGCCTTTATCAAAACTTATTGTAATACTGCACTCCTAAAAGTACAATATCATATGTCAATTATATCCCAATAAAACAAGGGGGAAAAACTTATAACTTCAACCATGTGGCAATTCATTTAAATAAGTGAGAGATCAGTAGTTGATTTTTGGTCTCTTGAAAAAGCGCATTCCCAGGAGGATTCCTTTCAAAAAACTGTTTCTATGTTGTGAGAAACTCTAGCCATAACAAGAGCCAAGTGTAGGATCTGGACGACCTCGGCAGCTGCACCCACAGCCACCAGTCACCTAAGTGAGTGTGCCATCGTGCATGCCCCACTCAGTCCGGCCTTCAGGTCTTCCAGCAGAAACCGTGAGGGACCCCAAATAAGAAGCACCCAGACGAGCTCAGTCAACCCCTAGAAGCTAGAGAAATGACAGTATCTTGTTGTTTTAAATCACTGAAAAGAGTTAATAACTCTGAGCGTATTTTTTTCTGCCAAAAATTGTATAATGACATCGTTTACTTCATGGTTACTAATTTTTACAGTAATACCTGAGGACTTTAGCAGTTTCCTCAAGAGCTTTCCTCAACTGTTGGATAATAAAACCTTTCTTTTTGGAAGCTCGCATGCCATCATCATTCTTTATTTCCCTCCAGTCCAACTACTAACAGGTCTGACTCTGCCCCCAGGTTCTTTGGTCAGCCATTTGGGGTGTTATATCAGCACTTCATGGAATTCTCAGTATCTTGCCAGCAGGGTGGCAGACTTGGTGGAAACCAGTTTAAATGGGACACATTTGGTAATTCATGTTTGCATGTTTTGAGGATTTTTATTCTCCACTCAACCTTGTACTACTGAGTCAAATACGACACTGAAAGAAAAGAAGTTCCTGCATGTGGCATCAAGGGGTCAAGGATCACTCCTCGCCGGGAGGAAAGGGTTACCTGTGACCTGGTGTGCCTGCCCTCCCAGGAAAGCCTGTATTGTACAAGGAGTTGAGTGAAAACTCAGAATTTAGCCTAAATGAATTATTTTAGAGGTGGTGAAATTGTAGGAATCCCGTAACACATCTGCCTGGTGCTCCTCACACAACCCCAGGGAGGAAGTTGGTCATTCTGAGGTCATCTGTGTCCCCACTGGGAAGGGACAGCGTGACAGGGGACAGCCCTCTCAGTGTACGAGATGTTTTCTACAGAAAAACAAGGGGCGCAAGTGGCAGGGGCATGCTAATCCAGGCCCATGAAGCAGTTCAGCAAACCTCCCCTATCCGGCTTTCTGGAAATCTCTCTGCTCTTGGCTGGGGCTGAAATCGATGATTCAGGACAAAGAGGGGAGATTTGCTGGAGAAAAGTCCTTGGGCAGGTCACTGGGGAAGGCAGCTGGGACACGGGTGTGGGGCCGCCTTAGCCGGGGGCATGGTGCACTCTCCCGGAGTAAGAAGGGAGAGGCCTGTGCACAGAGGGATGTAGGTGGACCAGCAGATGCAGCCTTGGTCAGGTGTGGATTTCTTATTGCTTCTACTCTTGTGAAAGGGGAAGCAAGCCATCAGCTGAGCCTGACGACGGGAATGAGATGGTGCAAGACTGGGAAAGCCAAGGTGTGAATGGCCAACCAGGGACTTGGGTTCCAGGAAGCCACTCCGAGTGGCTGGTGGATGAGCTGGGTGTGGAGGGACATATAGAATTTGCTGGACTAAAACGAGGGAAGGGCAATCTACACAAAGGGAATAGCATCACTTGGTGACAGGGTGGTTCATGTGTCATTCAGCAAAGAAGGAACATAGGAGGAATGGCAGGAAAACGGGCAGGTGGCACAGGAAGTGTTTGCAGGACATCAAGCCCAGTGACCCGTAGGCGGTCAGATGCACAGGACAGGAGACCAGCCGCGCATCTGACCACTCAGTGCAGACGTGCGGGTCAGAAAGACATGGGTGCTGATGCCCAGAAATACATGGGCGCTGATAGCTCAGGATGCCCAGGGAGGGTGTGCAAACCCAGCCACCAGATGGAGGAAAACACAGCCACTTGAGGGAGCAGCCAGGAAGGACAGTGGGGAGATGACAGAGCTGGAATAGGGAAGCTAGGACAGAAAATGAGAGCTGAAGGGGAATGTGGCTTGCGGCCAACAAGAACAGAGATGTTTTCACTAGGAGTATGGTCAGCATGTGAAAGGCCACAAAAGGAATAGGTAGAACAGAGCCCACTGGGGTGGCAAGGGCAAGTCGCTCATATTCCTCTGTCCCATTCTGACATAGCAGCATGGCAGCCAGGTGGCATGCCAGCCGGCCAGTGTGGAGGGGTGCATCGGGACGGAGCCCAAGACAGCGTGGACCGGGAGCACGGCAGAGCCTTGCGGAAGGCTGCCGGTGAGTGGGGGAGATGGGAAGGCGCTGAGCGGGCCGTGGGGAACGGCCTTCCTGTGTGACTGGCTGCACTAAGGGGCAGCTGGAGCCTGTGGCAGGGTTGGGGGGGAACCTCTGTGGCGGGAGCAGGGCCTCCACCTCCTTGGCCCTCCTGCGGCCACAGCCAGAGCACAGGCAGCCCCCAGGAGTGTGTCCCCTGGAATGACAAACAAGCACATCCATGTGGCACACGATGGTGGTGACAAGGGGGGCACAGCGAGCAGAGGGGTAGCTGTGTGTGGGTGGCAGGGGAGCCCTCCACAGCCCTGGGCAGGAGGGAGGGGAGCAGAGACTTGGGGCAGGTCATCGCAGGGGGAAGGAACAGCCAAGGGAAAGGCCCAGAGGAGTGTGCTTGGCCTTTTCAAAGAACTGCAAGGAGGTGGTGAGGCTGGAGACTGGGCCACCCTAGCCCGATAGTGTCAGGAGTAGCCGATCGCAGAGAACCTTGGAAAACACTACAAGAACTTGGCTTTTTTTTACCTAGAAGCAAAAACACTTTGTTTGCTAATACTGGAATAAGATTGTCGTCTGGAAGGCTGGTGGACAGGAAATATTGGAAAAGGAGAGAAATCGGCAGATCAGAGAAAAGGAGAGAAGGAGCAGGTTGAGGCGTCATTCTGGAAGAGTTGCTGAGAGCTGGTGCCTAAGGCCCTGGTGTTGTTCGGAGACCATGAAGCCAGGTAGTGAGGAGAGCAAAGGCTGATGGGAGACTGACAAGAGGCCTGGGGAAGAGGCTCATGGGCCAGCAGGAGGCACCGGCGGTTGGGACTGACTCTGTATGGCCCACTCTGACCACAGGGCACTCCCTGCACAGCAAGGGCACCAGAGGTTTGGGCCCACAGGGACACAGATGACGCAGGGGGACATGTACATGCGGCAAATGATTCATACATTATCAATGGTAGAGACAAGAGGTCCTCGTGCAGAAATCCAGAGTGGTGGGAGTGAGTGACCGATGGGAAGGACAGGAGAGCAGGGGAAGATGGTGGGGCCTTGGGATTGTCATTTTCAGAAGTAGATTGGTCGTGTTGCAATGAGGCTCAGAGCATTGCTCAGAAAGGAGAGGAGCTGAGAGCCACTTGCATTGATGCAGAGACAGAGGCCAGTAGGAAGCCGAACACCACCCACAGCAGGGCTGGGAGACGGCACAGACGGGAGAGTAGGCCTGCAGGCTCAATCCCAAGGAGCTTGAGGAATGTGAGGCCAGAAGGCCAAAGATAACAGCAACAGAGAGATGGGGGGTGGTGAGCAGGGCCCCAGGAGCCGCCAGGGCCCACTTCCCCAGCAAATCCGAAAAGGGGACAGTGCCTGGCCTTGCTTCTCCCACGTGGCCATGCCCCCCACTCACACCTGCTCCCTACCTGGAATCCTCTCCCTCCCCTCTCAGTCCCTTGAGCCCCTACCTATCAGCAACCAAAGGGCACCTCCATGAACCATTCCCTTTTCCTAAGAAAGACACGATCTCACCTTCCTGCTGACTGCCACACGACTGTTTATCACCGCGTCCTGACATTGCTTTGTGCACAGCTTGGAGCTGCGGGTACACGTGTGCAGCTTCCTCTGCTAGTCTAGACCACAGTGGCCGCAGCTTGCTCATCTGGGCCTTGTTCACACCGTGCAGTTTGGCAGAGAAGGCCTCCCGTGAATGCTGGTCCCCTTGGTCAAGCACAGACTTTATACCCAAATGGCCTCCCCCTGTGCCCAGGGAATTCTCAGAAATGGTGCCCCCTAATGCATGATGACTCGGGCAAGTGGGTCTAAATGTTCCCAGGGTGTGCGTTATCCAGTCTGCATATTTACTTTAATCTTCTTGTTTTAGTTCCAACCTTATAGTTCACTTCTGGGGATGGGTTTAGGTAAAGGGAGAGAGATGTGTCAAACTGTCTCTTTGCAAGACCTGACTCCTTTAAGGGTTAGAAGAATTTCATTTAGTAGCACTTTCAATTTCCCCATTTTATGTGCAGAGAGGCAATAAATGGAGGCTTCCCACCAGTTTACTGTATTTGCCTTGCGTGAAAATTCCGTGTTCCTAAGAGCCTTTAGGTTCTCTTCCAGACCCAGGTCCCTTTGAGACAACGTAGGGTTGATCCTTTTCCCCCACCCCCCGGGGCGGCCGAGCATTGCCGACGATAGGAAACAAGAGGAGGGCTGTCTGATCTCTCATCCTGTCCGTTCCCGGGAAAGATTTCAATAGAAAACAAGATCATTCTAAATGTCATCACTCCACACCCATCTGGGCTTCCGAAAGCAAGCTGCCTCGATTCTGAATCAGATGTCAGCACCCACTTAAAGCCGCTGATCCGAGCGTGGAGGGGTGGGGAGACCCACACCCCTCCCCACCACGGAGCTGCCCCGTGGTTACAGTGACCGATAGAGGACAGACAGGAGACAGGTGGCGACAAAGAACCTTTTTGCTCACGGCTTCTCTGACCCATTGGAGACAGTTAGAATAAACACTAAGGGGCCCTTTTACGGGCATGAACAAGCTGGTCATGGGGCACCTGGAAAGGGCAGAAGGGAATTAAACAGGGCCATGTAGCCACGACAGGCTTCCCAGCTCAAACCTGGGACGTGCTGCCTGAAGTCCTGGCAGTCAAGCAGCACAGCACTAAGCTCCTGAGGACATCCTCAAAGATCCATTTTGGGAAGAACGTTGGGCTCCCTTTAGGATGTGGCCATCAGCCCCTCCCGCTGAGCCTCCTCCCAGGAATGACCCAAAGAAACGCTGGGGTAGGGGAGGCTGGGGGTTGGGGGTGGCAGAAGCCTATACCTGGCTGCAGGTGAGGATGTGTGGCCATCAATAACCTACAACCTAGGTTTATGGGGGTGGGGGCCCCCAAAATACTATCACCCTCACGAACTCATGAATTAAGTCCCATTCATGACAATTTCTATCAAACAAAGGATTTCAAAGCAGACTCTCATTGCATCAAGCTTTCCCACAGAGGGCAGGGAAGCCATGAGAAACTAGAGGCCTTACGTTTTTCTTTGCGACCTGAAATAGTGCCCTAACATGTGGCTGGGTGGTGTAACACTGCAGATGTTTTCAATAGAGGTGTGGTGAAACGCTTTCACTCTGCAGGGACAAAGACTTCGGTACACGTACATTCAACACTTAAAAACATGTAACAATATTTGTACATGATAGAGCTGTGTGTGTGTTTGTATGTGTGTGCTTTACAAAACAGAAATATGTGTTTCTTCTTCCAATTAAAGGAGTGAGGCGAGGCTGATGGTCACTGACTGTCGACAATGTGCCCAGAGCTACACACACCTCAGCTTCCCTTTTCATCCTCACCACAAGCCCGGAAGGAATGGACTATTGCAATTAAACATTTTATAAGTGAGGAAATGAGGTGCTGAGAAGTTAAGCCACTTGCCTGATGTCACACAGGCAGCAAATGACAGAGTTGACCTGACTTCCAAACGCATGCTGCTCCTGGTACACAGCTCTGTCTCCTCAAGTTCCAAGAAATATTTTCGCTACCTTCCCTGTACACCTCCGCAAACCTTCCTGCTAGAGTAACTGTCATGGTTCACGGTAGGAACCATGTTCATGTTTATGGTTCAGATGCTGCCAGAAGAGCTGAGAAAGAACAGGAGTGTTTGTGATAGGTACAGAAACGACAGAGGTCCAACATATGTTTAGGCATTTCCAGAAGACGCAGTGCAGGAGAACAATCGTATCATTGATTAGTATCCCATGCATACGGGGTGGGGTGTCCTTCTGTATGATATTTAGGAGACCCTTAAGTCGTGCTCCAAGCACACACTACAGATCATCTGTGCCCCACCATTTTTGTCCACTGTTTCTCTCCGCGTCCTCAGACGACAGTCTCAATCGTGATGGTGTTACCATTATCTTCCTGGCGCCTGGGTTGCATTTCATCTTTGAAAGCCCTGGTCAGAACCACTTTTAAGGACTCCTTGAACCGTTTCTTCCTACTGCTGCCCACAAAGAAGTAAATGAAAGGGTTGGCACTGCTATTAATGGTGGAGAAGAGAAGAGAAATGTGGTGCATGTTCCCGAGCGTGGACCAGTACTCGTAGCAGAGCAGGTAGAGGAGCCTCATGGGCATGGCAAAGACGAGGAATGTGATGATGGTGGCCGGGATGACTCGGTAGAGCTTCGAGGACCGGGACGCCCACGTGTTCTTTCGGATCTTAACCACCAGGATGGTGCTGGACACCAGCATGAGTGGAGTGAAGACCAGGAAGCTCAGAATGGCTATAAAGATGATCACTGCCCTGCACTCACTTCGAGAGGGACCCCGCCCTTCAGTGTCAATGCACATGACATACTCCATGGTGGTCACCATGCAAGAAAGTGCCCACAGGAGCACGCAGACTGATGCCGACTGATGCTTGGGGCGACGACATCGATACCAGATGGGGTACAGGACCGACAGGCACCTTTCCACACTAATGGCTGTCAGCAGGTAGAGGCCTGTGTTGTAGCCAAACAGAAATGTCACCGATAATGTGACAATTGTGTAATAATAGCTGGAAGAGAGCTCATGATCTAAAGTGTAGTCAACAGACAGAATAAAAATACAAAAAAGTAACGAGATGTCCGCGATGGACAGGTGCGTGATGTACACTGTGAAGGGATTTCTTCTCATCCGGAAGCAGAGGAACCAGAGGAGGACTCCATTCTCAGCAAAGCCCAGGGGAGAAATGCTCAGGATGGCCCAGTGCACAGCTGGGATTCCCTGGCGCGTGCCCCCAGTGGACGGGTTCCGGACGGCCGAGGCGTTCGTGGGCTCAAGGACCAAAGTTGTCACGTTCAGCTCATCCATGAGGAAGCCTCAGGCTGGGACTCTTCGCGTAATTTTCTGTAACTAAGTGAAAAAAAAAAAAAGAAAAAAAAAAGGCAGAAAAAGAAAATTGATGCATTGGAGTAAAAGGTGGAATTTCAGCTATGGATTGTAGCTATCATGTTATTTTTAAAAGGTGTTTAATAGACTGTAAACTTCTCCTTCTAATGATTATAAAATCAAACAGAAAAGAGAACCAACTTAATGGCTTGCTGATCCCGCAACAGCCTTTAATCCTGTGTTGTTATTTGCTGTGGCTCAACGCGAGACGTGGTCAGGCAAAGCGGGAGGGTCAGCATTCCTGGGGTATGTTTCCAGTCTGGCCCAAGATTTCAGAATGGCATGTGGAAAATCATTTCGTCTTCTGTGCCTCTGTCACCTGGCCTGAGGAACCAGGTTAACTGCATTAAAATGTGATGAGAAGACACATGTTTGGGCAATGTTGTTGTTGATATTTTCTAATGCAGAAAGTGCCACAGACAATGGGTAAATGAGAGGCAATCATGAGCAAAATGGTGTTCAATAGTGTACCAATATTTTTGAAAGTGTGAACAATTAGAAGGTATTTATTTTATGTGGCCTCAATATCTGTGACAAAGCTGGGCACCTCCTCAGACTAGGGGTGCCATGCAGACCAACTCTGAGTAACAGATGCATTCACTTCCGCACAGGCCAGACCATGCAGGAAAACACTACTGACAGACTGTAAACAAAGCACTAAACTGAAACCAATAGAAATGATAAATATTTGAGACGCAAAGGAAGATTCTCATACTTTACGCATTGCAAAATAAATATACGCACAGTCCCCAGCCTCTTTCTGTTATGTAACAAATATTCATAAGCTACTTCCCCACTGGAGGAAGGAAAAGGAGGCAGCTGGTGATCATTCCTCTTGTTCCAACCCCAACGTGTCCTTGACTTTGTTGATGTTAAGTTTTTGTGGAGGTTGTTTGTTGGGTGGTGGCAAAATATTGTTCTTTGATTTTGAATTTCATTCTTGCAGACCAGGGCCCCTATCTGTGCACAATAATTAATCTTTTGGAAGTTAATCAAAACAATACTTTTAATTAGTAAGTATCTGCCTTTTCCTTACGAGCTCACCTGATGCAGAGCAGAACACAGATGTGGCACTTTGAGGAGCCTGAATATCTGGGGTGACATTAGAAGTTTCCAGGACTACACTGGTAGAACCACAGCCCTGGCAGCGCTCTGAGTTTTGATCTCAGCTCAGCTGTGCCTAAAACCTGGACTAGCAGGTGGGTGAGTGAAAAGGGTGGCCTCCTGCCAGTGGTGTGATGGGAGCCGGGAGGTCCTGCCCCCACCACCCTGCCCCTCTACCCCCACCCCCAGCAAACTTCCTCAGCTGTTCTGATGAGATACTGCAAATTATTTTCAATGGGGCAGCTTCTCCTTTCATCTCATAGTTAGATGGAATATTTTTCATCTAATATATAGATATATGCCTATAGATATAGGCCCCAGTACCCTCAGGAGCACAACACGTGGACCAGAATTCGCAACACCATGGCACGGCTGACTGAGGACCTGCTCAAGACAGCAGCCCTTGTTAGAAGTTTGTGGGAAAGACAGCCATGTTCCCCAAATTCACCCACCAAATATTTATTCAGTGCCCCCTTCATGCCAGGCGCTGTTCTAGGCACTGGAATATAGCAGTGAATGAAACAGATAAAGCACCGACCTCTTAGGGTTTGTATTCCAGTGGGAAGGTAGTCAGTGAGCAAATAACAATAACAACAAATAAACTGCCAGCTCCCAACAAGTGCCACAGAGAACAGTAAAGCATGGAGTGTGGCCCAGACCAGAATGTGGTTGTGGAGGTGATAAGATGTGGTTGGATGTGGGATGCAATTCGATTTGCTGATGGATGAGACATATGTTATTGTAGAAAGAATAAGGCTTCAGGCATTTGCTGAATGGACAGGGTACAGGTGCAGCAGGCTAGGAGGAAGCATAGGAGTTTGAAAGCCTATGCAGCCACCAAATGGAGATGTCTAGTAGTGTCAGGAGCTGGGGGGGCAGATGGAGGATGTACACAAAAGGTGGAATTTTAAATCATGAGGCTGAATGAGATTATCTATGAAATATGGGTGACAAAGAAGGACAAGAAGTTCAAGGACTGAGCCTTGGGGCACTTCAAAGTTTAGAGTCCAGGGGAGGAGAAAGAAGCAAAGAAAGCAAGAAGGACCTGACAGAGAGGTAGGGGACAGCCAAGGGAGAGGGTGACCAGGAAGCAAAGAAGGTGTTTCAAGAAGGAGGGAGTGTGATTGGCTGTGCTAACTTCAGCTGCCTGTTCAGGGTGGATGAGAACCGGAAATGGACCATTAACATCATCATTGACCTGGATCAGAGCAGATTCGGTAGAGAAGAAAATGAAAGCTTGATAAACCAGTGGATTCCAGAGAGGATGGAAGGAGAGTAAGTGAAGACGTGAGAACAGACAACCCTTTTGAGGACATTGCCTGTAAATTCAAGCAGAAGTACAGCAGTGACTGGACAGGGCTGTGGGTTACAGGAGAGTTGTTTAGCTGGTAAGAATTTTCCAGTAGAGAGAAAACAGTGAATGGTTCATGACTTATGTCTACAGTTTGGTGGAATTGCTGGTCTTCGCTGGTAGCATAATTTATTCCTGGGAACAGAAGGAAGCAGAGCATGTGGTTAAAGATGCAGCTAGGTAGACAGAGTGACAGCAGAAGTGTTAGAAGTTAAAAGTTCTCTTCTGAACGCAGTGTCTTCTTTTTCCAGCAAAGTAAGGCAGGTCATCAGCTAAAAGTGAGGAGAGGTAGAGGATTTAGAGAGAAAGGGCAGGTTGTGAAATAATCAGGTGAAAGAGGGAAGGACAACAGAAATATACGAAGAGTGGGATTGCTTGGCAAAATCAGAGCCTGCCTAGGCTGATGCTCAAGATTTAAGAATGCAGCTGTAGTTCGGCGCCAAGATGTGGGCACAGCAAAACAGGGGAGTTGGATTTACCCAGGGTTGGGGTATTAGCAGTCTGGGTGCAGCAAAGTGGGGGCCAATAGAATTATAGCACATGGTAGGCAATGGCTGTGGTGCTGGGCTAGGGAATTCAATGGGGTTGGGAGACGGTGAGGTCATGAGAGAGAGGACAGCGACCAGGCCATGGGAGCCATCGATTGCAGAGCTTCAGTGTCAGAGTGCTGCCGATGTCTGTGTACCAAAGATGGAGAAGTGGGAAATCAGGCTGGGGATGGGAGGGGAGGGACTGGAGCATGGGATGCTTGGGATAGACTGTGGCAGTGTGGTCTGGACGTATGGATACTGATGAGTGTAGCACGACCATGGGAAAGCTGAGGGTAGGGGGAACAAGGTCTGCTGAGGTGTGAGCAGGACCCAGAGCCAGGGCATTGGAAGAATTACGTACGTGGATGTTGAAATCACTGGGAACAGTGCTGGAGCACAGGAATATTATTAGAAAACAAGACTGAGCCAGTGCTAAAATCTTCAGGGAATTTGGGAGAGCAGCCCCAAGGTGTGCAGACAGCCAGGAGGATCGTAGTGACACAGGTGGGTGCATGTGCTTCAGAGGTGGGTGTTTGGCTGCTGGTGGTGGAGGTGCTTTAGAGAAAAGCACAGTAAGTAGGGGTGAGCAGGTCTGAGCAGCACCATCTAGAAATACAAGGTGAGCTGGTTGCATAACTGAAGTTTCTAGCAGCCACATATAAAAAACTAAAAAGAAACAGGTGAAAGGAATTTTAACACCATATTTAACCCACTGTATTCAAAATACCATTTCAACATGTAATCATAGGCAATATGGTCAATTATATTGTAATAACTTTGTATGGCAACAGATGGAAGCTATGTTTACTGAGGTGGGCATTTTGTAATGTATATAAATGTTGAATCACTGTTGTACACCTGAAACGAATACAATATTATGTCAACTATACTTCAGTTTAAAGATATTTACTGGGAAATAAACATATGTATATGTATATGTATATGTATATATATAAATGAGATATTTTACATTCTTTTTTCACATTAAGTCTTCAAAATCCTGCATGTATTTTACTCTTACAGCACATCTTTCTTCAAACTTTCAGCCACATTTCTCATGCTCAGTAGCCACATGTGGCTGGTGGCTACCATACTGGGCTGTGCAGGCTTAATAGCCATCACAAAACCAAAATACTCTATACAAGGAAGTCAAAAGCGCTCATCTTTTAATAACAAACCCATGCCAAAGACTAGAAATGTAAAATCAGAACCTAATCAGAATTTTTTAAAAAACTGACAAGAACATCTTTCTGACTCAGGATCTAAAACCAAACTGGGTTTCAGAAAGCTCACCCTGGTCACAGTCTAAAGGCTGAATGGGAGCGGATAGTGGACAAAGCAAAGAAACCAGTAGGGGCTGCAGAAATAGCCCTAGTGAGAAATGATAACTCAGATAATGGCTGAAGGAGGGGGTGGATTTCCAGGACATTTCAGAGAGGGCTGCTCAGGTCTCAGAGACCTTGAAGGGCAGGGAGGAGTCAGGGGCCCATCTGTTGGACTGTGCAGATCGCTGCCAATAACCGAGATCGGGGCAGCAGGGCAGCAGTCAGGAGGGCAAAGATCCTGATTTGCAGCGTGTGGAAAAGGAAGCCTTAGTGGGGACACACCCAAGGCTGATTCCGGGTGTGGAGGTGGGTGATCTGTATGTGCCCTGTTCCGGAGGGCCTGCAGTTTTTAATAAACTTCATGAAACAAACAGTAATTGGCACACAGATGAGATCTTTCGAACATCACTCATTCCTGTGCATTTGCCTGGTTGCAAACTGCAGGTGCAGAAGCCACCAGGACCACAGGCTACTCTTCCATTCCTGTGCCTCTGGCCTCGACTCAGGTGAGTCTCCCTGTGTCCTTGCCCTCTGCCAGTCCACCCTTCCCAGCCTCTCACGCTGCCATGCCCCCTTTCCTAACACTCCCCTTGCCCACCCTGGTGTGGCCTGCATAGCTCTGCACTCCTGGGAGTAGAGTTAAAATACTATCAC